GATTGAGTCCATCAGGTGTCTAGAGCATCTAAGCGTGACTGGATGCAACAAACTCGTTTCTTTTCCAATAGATTTGGGTGAATTGCCTTGTATATCAATATTAGATATAAGACGTTGTCGTGAATTGAGGAGTTTGCCCAAGGGAATTGGCCGTCTTAGCAAATTAACATACTTAGCCATTGGTGGATTCTCAGAATTAATTGATTTCAACTCATTCCAAGCTGCTCTCGACGGAATCCAACATTGCAAATCCCTCCGGCGTTTGAGTTTACATGGTCGGGAACATTGGGACTCATTGCCATATCAGTTTCAGCATCTTCCTTCGCTCCAACGTTTTGGGTTATATGATTTTGGAATTGAAGCGTTGCCAGAGTGGTTCGGGGGTTTGTCATCTCTTTTCTCATTACATCTGCGTAACTTAAAAAAGATTAGGCATATGCCCTCTAAGGAAGCGATGCAACGCCTCACCAAGCTAGAAATTTTAGGTGTTCATGAAAGTCCATTGTTGGAGGAGAGGTGCAGGGAAGAAAGAGGCTCTGATTCTGAGAGGTCAAAGATTTCACATATTCCTTACATAGATGGACTGGGCCAACGTGGTTATATGCTAATATAGTTGGTAAGTATTTGAGATCAACCACTTAAGTTTTCATTATTTCTTTTTATTATACATTATAATAATTTACTGTGTATGTTGTAAATATAAATTAAATATGCCTAAGCAGTGGTTATTAATTGGTAAATCATCTTGTGTATTTCGCACCCAACATATCGTCAATATATCAATCGCTATTTCTATTTGTAAGTACTTGTTATTATAATTATTTTCATTTGGTAAATTGAAAATGAGATTAAAGAACTCTATGGATTTGTTAATAGTTTATATATGTTGAATCTATGTCAGTCAATTATATTTATTCTTAACCTAGTATCTATACTAAAGTACGTTAAGCCCCTACTTAATGCCCATTAAAATGAAGTTTTTTTGGAAAAAATGAATTTTGGAATATTGATTTTAGATAATGTGTGGTTAAAAAGTAAGGAAAAAATTTGAATTTATTTTTAAAATATTTTATTGTGAGAATTTGTATTTGAAGGTGAGTTTCAGAAATTTAAAAAAAAAAAGTTCTTGAAGAATGGTAGACAAATAAGGACTAAGGTTATTTTCTAGATTTCACTCAGATATCTATATGCAAAATTAATTTATTTTTCCTTTCATTGTCGTTAGTGGAACGTGGGCATAGATTAGTCAAATGTTCGAGGTAAAAGATGCGTTTTGAATTTTTTGATGGAGTTTGAGCAAAAATAAACATCTTCAGCGTAGATTCTTGAAGGAACTACGTGTTCTCTTTCAACAATAATTAAAGAATGATTGCGAGTATTGTGCTTGAAATCCAAAGTGCGGGAGTCCATGAATATTGGTTCTTAATACTCTATATGCCCAGACTATTTTGCTTTTAATTATTTCTTAGTGTTTATTAAAATACTATTCTGCTTTAATTATGAACCACTGGCTTTGTTCTTACACGAAAATAATAATGAATAATGAAATAGTGAATTTGTAAATGCCAATGTACATTGTTGTGCTCAATCCACAAGTAAGATCCAACATAATTCAGCTAAATTATTTCAAATACCAAGCAATTCAAATCCACAAATTTTGCACCGAAAAACACGAGAGAAGAAAGTAAAAGGAGAAATATAACTCCTAAGACATCTAACTAATAGATAAGTATATCTACAAAGAAGTGGTGTATGACATGATTTATGCTGCAACATAGTTATTACATTGAGTTTGTGACATAAAATACCTCTCCTCCTTGTCCTAGATTTCGATTCTAAGTTTCTTGTGAGATATATTTAGTTGTACTTAAAAATAAATTAAAGTTACTCTTAAACTAAGCCGCCATTTGGCCCCATTAAAAATATAATCTAGTTTTCTCTCTTCTTATCCACCAAACATTCTAATAAAATAATATTACACATAAATCGAAAATTAGCCTCACATTTTTCAAAAAAGCACTATTTCAAAAATTATAATCTCAAATAATGAAGGCCAAACGTAGGCATTTGGTTAACATGATTTTCAAGTTACTATTTTCTTAAAAGTAAGCTAAAACTCAATAATTTAACTGAACTGAACATTATGGTCAAATCAACAAATTCAATTGAGTCATTTGTACAATGTGAGCACGATTTTCATCGTTTCACTAAATGACCAGTAATCATTTTGGATTCCAAATTAAGGCCTTGTTTGAGAGCCATTAATTTCTTGTAATGTATTATAGAATATAAGATTGATGGAGAATGTGTAATTAAAAAGTAAGAAAGCTTTATTGTTTTGTGTGTAGAATATTTTATTATGTGAATGTGTGGTAAAGAATGTTACTGTAGCAACCAATTGAAAATTTTAAAGATGGCAAAGCGGGGCTAAAAATGTGAGGTCTAGCAATGGTCGGGATTACTTTAATACATTCTTATCCCCCTCCCCCTTTTTTCAAGAGAATAGGATTATCCATTACTCTTCTTGTTATTTGATATTAATGCGGATTTCCAGTAATTTCCTACAGTTCTTAGCAATTTGATAGTAATATATTTATTTTTGTTATGTGTGGCTTCTTCACATACTTAATTTGAAGCCATTGAGCTGTTAGATTAATGTTTTCGTGTATATTTGACTACATCAGGACATAAATTTTTGGAAATTAACGTTCAAAATCCCTTGCAGAGTGTTTGGGTAATTGGGTTGGTGTAGATGGGAAAACCATTACTTTATATGAGAAAAACCAGCTACAAGATGTATAATAGGAATACGTAGTGCAATATGGTTTTACATACAGAAGAAGAACATTGGGGATTCACATGTGGGCTTGAGTAATGATACTGCAGTGGAAGGTCGCCACTGGAGGATAATAACATTAGCTTTACCTTCATTATTCATTAGTATTAGTTGTTTTGTCAGGAACACTAGTTCTAGTGACACATCATGTTTTGATTCAAGATAGACTATTTTAGGAGAGTGACTGCAGTTGTGTATTCTTGTGTCGTTTTTGGGTGGATGACAATTTTGTCGGTGAAACAGCCCTCATCCAAGTTGGAGCTTTTTGGATTTCTCTCACTTCCTATCAGTTTTTGACGCAGAATGGAAGTTCTAGGGTTTACCAGCGTAATCCCCAACAAAAGAAAATTGTAAATCCCAAGAAAATAACCTCAAAAAGGGAATTGTATTATTCAGAAAAACAAAGAGCTTTTAAATAGTATCTGAAAACCCTAATTTAAGCAAAAATACCAAAATAGACATTCACTTAATTAAAACAATTAAAAACAAAAACTTCAATTGCCCGGTAAACTGCCTTAAAATGCAAATTTGAGGCTAAAAACGACGTCAACCGGGGAACCCAAGTAGGGACATTGTAGAGCGCTGCGACATGTTTCCGAAAACATATTATAATAGATTTTCTGACACTGGTGCAAAAAGTTATGCCCGTTTATTCGAAACAACTCGTTTTGCCAATTTTCAATCCAATTCTTCTTCAAATTTTAACGCCAATTGTCCTACATCAGTTTTGCTCCATTTGAGTCTCTCATCTTTACGTCTATAATTGTTCCACAAGCGAGTTTCCTTGGTCATTTGTCAGGAATCATTTGTGGATGCTCTATTGGCTGGGGATTAATCCATGGAATGAACAATTATTGGGCGGTATCTATGCTAGGATGGATTGTACTAATATGTGTATTCAGTTTGAAGAAGTCTGGTACATATGATTTCATCTTTCTCGAAATTGAATCGGTGACAGATCCTTCCTTGCCATCTGTGCATTTCATAGCTTCAGGGGACGATAGAACCTTGCAGATGAGCACATTGCCAGATTTCAGTACCAATCTAGTCTAGCTTCTGGGAGACATATTGATCTATATTGTGCATTTGTACTTAAATACTTGTTTATCGGGTCATTTTGCTGTGATAAGGCCTCGCTTCTTGGAGGCTGCTTTTACTGCTCCAGATTAGTATGAACGTCAAATATCTTATGACAGCATAAGAGTCACTGGTAACCTTTGTTTTTTATTCAAATGGGTAAGTTAAGAGAAAGAAATCAAAAAGTCATAATATTCTTTTGTATAAGTTAAGCTTTCATTGTCGAGGAAACAGGAAACTGATAATATTTTTTTCCATTTTATAGTTCTTTAGCTGTTATTTATTTTCTTCTCAAGCTAAACGGAATAAATATTTTCTGTTTTTATGATTATGATTACTTAGAAGCGTTTACATCCCCTCTGACGAAACCTTGTTTAAATTATAATTTATAAAC